CCCCAAAATGAGAGCTCCGCAGCCCAAAGCCACGCTTTTCACCCCAAAATGAGACCCTATAACCAAAACACCAACATTCAACCCCAAAATGAGCCCACACCCCCCAAAATCAGACATTCCACCCCAAAATGCCTCCCCCGCACCCAAAACCGCAACATTCCGCCCCAAACCGCTGCCCTGCCCCCACTCGAAGCCCCCCCCACCCCACCCCAAAATCGCATTTTCACCCCCAAATCCTCTCCAAACCTCAAATTTCCCTCAAAAATCACAAATTCAATCCTCTGCACCCCAAAATGTTCTGGTTTACCACCAAAATTCCCCCTTCYGAATCCTCATTTTCCCCCTCAATTTTCTGGATCCGCCCCCAACCCCAAGTCCTTCTCTGAAGCCCCAAATCCCCCCTTTTACCCTCAAAAAAACCTGGATTTCCACCCTACACCCCCCAAAAATCCCTATTTTCCCCCAGAAAGGTCCCCCCAGAACCCCAAATCTGCCTGATTTCAACCCAAAAAATTGGAGACTTTTGGGGTTCCCACCCAGAGCTGAGCACAAAGGGGGGTCTCCCCCCCAAAATGAGGTCCCCYCAAATTGGGATCCCCAAAAGGCACCAATCCCCCCTCCAAAAACCTTTATTTTGGGGTCCCATTCCCAAATTTGCTTTTTTTCCACCCAAAATCCTCTCCCCTCTCCCTCCCATTCTAAAATGTTGTTTTGGGGGGAAAATGCCCCAATTTGGCACCGCAAGACCAGACCCCCTCCCCTTTTTGGGGGGAGTGTCCCCCCAAATGAGGGGAAAATCCCCAAWTTTTGGAAGAATTGGGAAAATTAGGAGAGGAACGCCATGATGTGGARGAGAAAATTGAAATTTGGGGGGAAAATTGCAAGTTTTTGGTGGAATTGCAAGATTTTGGAGACCTGTTTTGGGGAGGAAATGCCAAATTTGGGGGGACCCTCCGTTTTTGGGTGGTGAATTTAATTGATGTGGAAATTTAGGGTAAATTCAGACCCAAATATGAGGAATTTGCCTCCAAATGGGGGAGTCTCTAAATTTGGGTCCAAGTCACCCAAATTTGGGTGTTTTGGGGTACAGGGAGGGGGGTTCTGCAGAAACGGGGGTGGGCTCCAAATTTTGGGGAGAAAAGCAGCGATTTGAGGGTAAAACCCTGAAATTCTGGGGACCCCCCCTTCAAAAAAATGGGGGCTCCCTTGAAATATGAAGGAACCCGAAATCTCCCCAATTTGGGGTGCCCCCCCCGGATGAACCAAAATGGGGAAAAAGGTGAAATTTGGGGGACAAAAACGGGATATTTGGGCAAAAGTGAGATGTCACCTCAAAAAATGAAGGGAATTGATAAAAAGTGGGGGGAATTTGGTAAAAATCAGAGGTATTTGGGAAAAAAAGGGAAAAATGGGGGGAAATTGGAGAAAATGGGGGGAATTTGGGATATTGGGGGGCCCTAAAAGGGGTTTTTGGGGAGGATGCCCCTAAATTTGGGTGTTTTCTGGGGGGATCCCTTAAGGGGGGTCCCCAAAGTGAAGGGGGACCCCAAGAAGTTGGGGGGCACCAAAAAGAGGGGAAATGACCCCAAAAGAGGCAGGGGGAGACGACACCCCTTTATTTCCCTGGGGCTGACCCAAAACAGGGGAGATTTGCCCCCAAAAAAGGGCGTCCTGGAGCGGAAGAAGGGGGGAGACCCCAAAATCGGGGGGATTAGCCCCAAAAAAGGGACCCCCCCAAATAGGGAGCCCCCTATAAGACAGGGACCCCCCAAAAAGGGGATTGCTTTTGTTAAAAATCACCCCCGGGAGCCCCAAAAATCAGGGAAATCGCCCCAAAATGTGAGGGACCCCCCCAAAATGATGGGAATTCCCCCCAAAATTCCTGTCCCCCCCAATTGCCCCCCCCGGGGGGGGGTTCGTTTTTGGGGTGCCCCCGCTTGGAGCCGTGTGTGTGTGAGTGTCTGGATGGGGGGGGCAAAAATCCCAATTTCCCCATTTTTCCCCCCAAAAATCCGAGCTGGACCGAGACCCCCCCCCCGGGGGGGGGGCGAAGACGTCGTTGGAGCCAAAACTGGGGGGATTCACCCCAAAAAAGCAGCACTTTGGGGGGGCTCTTCGGGGCCCCCCCCCCTTCTTGCTCTCAAAAATGTTCATTTCCAGGGGGGAGGTTTTGGGGCAGCGTCCCCAAAATCGGGGGGTTTGGGGGGGCTCCCCTCTCCTTCCCTCCTCCCCCACCCCGGGGGGGTTTGGGGGGTCCCCAAATATGGGGGGGCCCCGGGGGGGGCCCCGAGTCCTGGTGTGAAACGTG